TAATTCCAGACTTGAAGTATCGGTACCTATTGAAGCTGTACCGATACCCAAAGCCCAGATGTCACTTTTAGAACCCGAAACTTCACTCATTCTAACTCAAATCCTTCATGTTTTAACCCCTTTAATATCCTTAACTCAAATATGCATACCCAAATCAATCATATGAATTTAATACCTCTTTATCTTCAAAATCTCATCCTCCAAATGAAAATCATGAATCATATCAAATTTTCAAAATGTTCTAATTCCAATTCTAACACTTTGAATGTCTTATTCTGACTTATGACAAGTTAAATTTAACTTCCAACTTCAATTACTAACTCTTTTCCAAGATTTTATTTATAAACCTCTCATCTTTAATCCTTTCTAACTTAATCATCTTAGAGTTTTAAGTTTCCCTTAAGCTTTCTTATCATCTCAAGAATTAAAACCAACTTAAAAATGAAAGAAAATCTTCACTTGAGACCAACTTACCTTATTCATGGTGGGACAGGAAGAAGAAGAAGAAGAGAATTCCACCAAGTATCCAGACTTTTCTTCATTTTTCCTTCCTTTCCACATGGTTAAATCCCTTATAAAGGGAAAATAAAAATCTTTCATATCAAATTACCATTATACTCTTTCTACTTACAAACTTCACTATTAACTCCAACACCAAAATTTTTCCAATTAAATCCTTGACCTTTTAATCTTTTCTAAAATTAATCACTAAATTTCAAAAACTTCCATTTTGGTAACTAACCTGACTTTTGGGATATTACACCGAGCCTTCTAAGGTGATGATGGCTTCCTCTGACAAAAGGTAAAATCTTTCCTCTCCTAGTGCTTTTCTTTGCTTAATCTTGGTGTGTTTAATGATAATGAATGGAAGCATATTTATAGTATAGATTTTTAGCTCGAATTAACTACTCCCGCCCAAAACCGTTAGGAAACGGTTGCAACGGCCTCGAACCTAGAAGCTTAGAAGCTTTTGATTTTTTTTCTAAATTTTTTTGTGATTTTTTGCATGCTTCGAACTTGACCTTCGACGGCGGTGCACGACGATGGCGTGACGACGATGAGACGAAGGTAGTTTGTCTGGGAAGATGAATGAACCGATGCGTGAGACACACGTGTCGGTGACGCACCGATGAGCTCTTCGACTGTGGGACGTGCCGATGGGGGAGCCAAGCCTCCTTGGATTATAAAATCTTGGCCATTGAATCAAATCTAGATCCAATGGTTGAGATGCATTTGTGTTTTCTTGGTATGAATTGATGATGTGGCGCAACCGGGGCCCTCATATCCTTTTCCTTATCAATAGCTCTCATCCATTTGTGTTTGCTTCACTTGGATTGAAGCATCCATGGCCATTGGATGGGATCCTATCAAGAGTGGAGATTGATTTGTGTTTTTTGCCTTGGATAGGTGACATCATCACCGAAAAAAATGAACCACCAATTAAAGTTCCATCTTTGACTTTCCAAAGCAACTTCCCCCCCCCAAAAAAATACCCCAAAAGTGGCTAGGCTTGTAGATTTAGGATTTTTTTCTTTTTTATTATTACTTAATGCATGTATTGTAAACAAATGTGGGCTAACCATGTGGGCCTAAAAAATTATGTAAATGGGCTATTAAATGCAAATGGACTCTTTTTTTGGGGTTTTATTATTAAAAGAAAATTATAAATTGGCTAACATTCTAATATGGACTATTATTAATAATATGCGACGTAACTAATTAATATGGAATGCCACATGGATTAATAACATGAACATGCAATACTAAAATATGCCATGCAACTATTTAATAATATAATATCTAATATCTAACACATGTAATTATTTAGTATGCAATGCAACTAACACTAATAATGTGTAACTACCATATGCAAAAATGACATTTTATGATGAAATACATTTTAATACCTAAACTATACTATATATACTATGCCCATATTATTTATTATACTATATATTATAAAAAAATGAAACGCCATGTGTATGTCACTACCCGGATAAAATGGATGATGATACAAGATGGTAGCCACTCCAGCAAAACCAGACATGAAATTAAGTGTGAATTCAATAATAGAGCCAATGAATTTGACGTTGTTTAAAAACATCGTTGGAAGTTTAAGGTATTTGACTATCACACGACCAGATATTACATACGCTGTAGGATTGGTAAGCAGATTCATGGAGAATCCGAAATAAGATCATTGGATCGCAGCAAAGAGAATTTTGAGATATGTCAAAGATACGATAGATCATGGTTTATTCTACATGCATTCATAAAATTTGAAATTAGTTGTTATTCTTAGTGATTATGGGGGAGACCTAGATGATTAAAAAAACACTTCAGGATATTTATTCGACATTGGCTTAGCAACATTTTCATGGTCTTCAGAGAAGCAACAAACGGTAGCTCTTTCGACATGTGAAATTGAATACATGGCCGCAACAGCATGCAATTACCAAGCAATGTGGTTAAAGAATATTTTCAACGAGTTAAATTTGGAACAAAAATAACCAACTACAATTTATGTCGACAACAAGTCTAAAATATCACTTGCCAAGAATCCAATCTCTCATAGTCGAAGCATATCGATACAAAGTATCATTTTATACAAGAGCATGTGAAGAACAAAATTGTGGAGTTAATCTATTGTCGAACCGAAAAACAATTAGCATACATTTTCACGAAGCCATTGAAACCAAATGTATTCAACAAACGCAAAGAAGAGCTTAGAATGAAAAATCAGGTTTGAGGAGGAGTTTTAGAAGTCAAACATGATTTTTGACTCAATACGTCGGTAAGATTAAGGTGGCAAAGACTAGATGTTTCTTGATTAATGAAGCAAGATCTTGAATTACTTAAGAAATAAGAATGGAAAGCAAACATTTGGCAATTGAGTTGATGATGGAGGCAACATGGCATCAAATTAAAGAAAATGGAATTTCATTAAGACAAGCAACTCCATGCCGCAATACAAGAAGAATTTGGCAATGTCTAGATCTTTCATTTAGACGGCTAACTACCCTTGTAAATATATGTGTCCTTAGCATTAGTTTATATGTAAGTGAGTAAAACCGAAGAAAAATACGAGAGATAATGAAGCTTAGAAAAGCTTTTATAGCGGGGTTGTGTTTGTAAACTAACCGCAGCTAGTATTTGTATCGAATTTGTATTTTGGTTTGTATTAATAATAACATGTGAGTTATAAAATTACTTAGTGTCCATTCTCGTTTCCAGCAGTTCCTTCGGTTGACTTTGAGTTGAAGATTATTAACGAATAAGAAATGTTTCATCGACATATGATATGACCACAAAGAGTGTTTATTGCATTTGCAATGCTGATGATGAGAATGTAGATCTCATCCTTTGTTATTGCACCAAGGCTCACTCAAACTGGACTAGTCTGACCCACCCGGATAAGATATTCAACTTTATGTTGAAGCCATTGAATATATAGTTTTGTGACAATCTGCGTAATCAAGGCAATCCTACTTTTGATAACCAAAACTGAGGTATTCTATTTTCGGTAGCCTCCTGGAATTTATGGAAGCAACGAAATTTCATTCTCTTTAATGTTGATTCCATGAAGCATGACAACATCCTAATTCGAATTAGAAGATTGATGAAGGGGACATCTTTTGGTAGAACAACCCAACAAAGGAATGTTAACCATGATACGACAACATCAAGGTGGCAGTGACCACGAGAGGGTTGGGTTAAGGCGAACATTGATGAAGCAGTACGTTGTCGCAATATGGCGGCTGTTGCGGGGAGTCCTACGAAGTGAAGAGGGAAATTTTCTGTTTGGGTTGCCTAAGAGTCTCGAAGATTATTCTATCATGTTAGCGGATTTATAGGTAGTGCACGACATGCTGACACATGCATGAAAACTAGGCTATCACAATGTGCATGTGGAAACTAACAATCCAGAGGTTATAAAAATCCTGACGTCTTCCTCGAATGCGTTAGCGGGTACTGTCCTTGTTGAATGAATCAGAATTCTTTTGAGGAGAAAATTAAATCCGGTGACTGATATATTTGCAGCGATAGGTGGCGAAAGACAGGTTGGAGAGTTCTTTTTTTGCAGAACCACTAGCTGAAATGGATGCGTTGATTATTCATGAGACTGAAATTAGTAACTAAATTTCTTTCGTCGTTCGGTATTAGTGAAAAAAAAAGTTTTTAAAAACACACGTTTGATCGAAAAAACTTCTCACCCGGTCTACAGTAAAAAGATAAAATTTTGATAAATAATTAATTTTGAATTTCAATTTAATAAATAATTTAAAAAATATATTTGGATATAAAAAACGGCCTATCCTCGGTAGAAATTTCAAAGGAAAAAGGTCGCGTTTTTTCTTTGGAAATTATTGAGTAGGTCCCGAAATCAACTGGCAAAGCAAGAGCAATAAATGTGATTTTAAGTACGTACGGTAAAGAGTTTGCCTTCGTCAAACTACATCCATTCCGATCTATCTTAGCTCTACACACTTTTCGGAATTTAACTCCCGTTTCTTCCTCAATTTTCTTGCAAGAACGCAATCATGCCTTTGCTTGAAGCCTTGTCCGCTATACGAGAAGTTGTTATCTCTAAGGTCATCGACTTTTTCCTTGACAAGTTGGCCTCGTCTGAGCTACTGCAATTCGTTACTGAGAAAGAGGTTTTGGAAGAGATCCACAAGTTGAACAAGGAGCTAAAGGAGATCCGTGCGGTGCTTGATACTGCTGAAGAGAGACAGATTAAAGAGCAGCTGGTGAAAGAGTGGCTGATTCATCTCCAAAACTTGGCATACGATGTGGAGGACGTTTTGGACGAGTTTGCAACCGAAATTGGCAGCCGCAATCTGATGATGGAACGTCGAGGCAGCTCAAGTAAGAGACCCAGACTCATTCCTGATTCATATGATGCTGTTATGTTCAACAGAAATATGATGTCCAGAATAAGAGATATCACTGCCAACTGAATGATTTGGAACCTCAAAAAAAACAGTTACAGTTCAAAATTAATGATTGCGAGAGACCCAAAAGACTAGAAGAAAGACTGCAACCTACGTCTTTGGTGATCGAAACTCATGTGTATGGCAGAGACAAAGACAAAGATGAAATACTTGATTTATTGTTGAAGAGTGATGATGAAGGAAATTTTGTGATTCCCATCGTTGGGATGGGTGGTATTGGTAAGACGACCCTTGCTCAGCTTGTTTACAATGATGCTTCCATTCAAAACCATTTTGAACTCAAAGCGTGGGTTTGTGTTTCTGACAACTTTGATGTCATGAGAATAACAAAAGAAATCTTGCAATCAATCACTTCCCAACCATGCCATGATAATGATTTGAATACACTTCAGGAAAAGTTAAAAATGGTGTTGTCACAGAAAAGATTCTTGATTGTTTTAGATGATGTCTGGAATGAGAATTATCATAACTGGACCATCTTACAATCTCCCTTTCTAACAAGGACTAAGGGAAGCAAAATTGTTGTCACAACAAGAAATCTTGGTGTTTCATCAACAATGGGTGCCTTCCATGCTCATTCTTTAGAGGTCTTGTCAAATGATGATTGTTTTTCTGTATTTGCTCAACATGCATTGGGAGCAAGGGACTTTGGAGGATATCCAAGACTAAAGGAAGTTGCTAAGAAAATAGTGAGAAAATGCAACGGTTTGCCTTTGGCTGCTAAAACCCTTGGTGGCCTTCTGCACACTAATGTTGACCTTGATGCTTGGGAAGATATTTTAGAGAGTGAGATATGGAAGCTATCAGAACATCAGTCTAGTTTGATCCCAGCTCTACAATTGAGTTATCATCATCTTCCTCCGCATTTGAAGCAATGTTTTGCGTATTGCGCCATTATTCCGAAAGACTATGAGTTTGAGGAGGACGAAATGATCTTGCTATGGAGGGCACAAGGCTTCCTGAAAGAAGCACCAGATAAACAATGCATTGATGATTTGGGTCGCAAGTACTTCACAGATCTAGTATCACGGTCCCTTCTGCAAATGTCCATCAAAGATAATTATCGCTTTGTTATGCATGACCTCATTAATGATTTGGCTCAATCAGTTGCTGGAGAATTATGCTTTAAGTTAGAGGGTAGTCAACAAATTTCGAAGCAGGCTCGCCACTTATCTTACATTGCTGACAAATATGATGGCATCAAAAAATTTCAAGGCATTTCTGCAGCGCAACAATTGCGAACTTTTTTGCCATTGAGGTTGTCAAAAAGTGGACCAGGCTATGTGACAGTCATGTCTTGACATGTTTGTTGCCAAAGTTGCGATGGTTAAGGGTGCTTTCTTTGGAAGGATACCAAATCGAAGAGTTTGTCAGATTTTGTTGGAGATTTTAAACACTTAAGGTACTTCAATATTTCCAACAATAAAATTATTAAAAGCTTGCCAGAATCGATTAGTACCCTCTACAATTTAGAAACCCTTTTATTAAAGGGATGTCATGACCTCGAGAAGTTACCTTCAGAGATGGAAAATCTAGTCAACCTATGTCATCTTGATATCAGCGGTGCAGATAGATTACAAGGCATGGAAAATAATTTTAGCACCCTAACTAATCTTCAAACACTTGCCCTTTTTGTTTTGGGTAAAGAGAAGGGATATCAGATAAGGGAGCTAAAGGATTTGTCAAATCTCAAGGGCCAACTTCATATTTCAGGGTTACAGAACGTTGTTGAACCTCGAGATGCATGGATGGCTAAGTTACATGATAAGTCAAGAATCGAGAAACTAGAACTAAGCTGGAGTAAAGACTTTAAAAAAAGAACACAAGAAGACGAGAGAAAGGTGTTGGACGGGCTTCAACCTTCTAAAATGCTTAAAGAGCTCACCATTAGCTTCTACTGTGGTGCAACGTTGGCAACTTGGGTAGGAGATTCATTCCTCAATGATTTACAATCTTTATTCCTTGATGATTGTCCAAATCTATTGTCATTGCCATCGATTGGGAAATTGCCATTGTTGAAAAAGGTGCGTATAAAGGGATTGGAAAGGGTAACTAGTGTGGGAGCCGAGTTATTTGGAGAAAATGCTCCGTGTGCGTTTCCTTCATTGGAGATTTTACAGTTTGAGGACATGCCTAAATGGGAGAAGTGGAACTTGCGTGAAGTTGACGAGAAAGCTAAGAAATTTCCAAGACTTGGTGAACTTGTTATTCAAAAATGTCCTTTGTTGTCGGGGAGTATACCAGAACATCTTCCTTCTTTGGAGAAACTTATGATTCATGACTGTGAGAAATTGACAATTTCAATTCAAAGTTTTCCGGTGCTGTCAGAAATAAAAATTCAAAGGTGCCATGAAGTAGTGTACAAAGGTTTTGGAGGAGATAGCTCATTAAAAAGGGTGTCGTTTTCAGGCATTTCCAAGTTCAGCTGTGCACCAGAAAGCCTGAGGTTAAGATCCATAAAAGTAGAATCCCTTGAGATTGATAACTGTGAAGAGTTGTGCTCTTTTCATGAGAATAATTGGAGATGGCTAACTCAGTCCATGTCCCTCCGCATTTTGAAGATTAGAAAATTTCAACGACTTGTCTCCATTGGAGCAGATGATGAAACAGAAGTATCGATGCAACTGAAGATCCCTTACAACATTGAACAGATGACGATAAAGAGTTGCGAAAGGCTAGAAAAGCTATCATTGACGTTGCACTGCCTCAGATCAGTTTGGATGATAGAGCTTTACTCTTGTCCAAAACTAATTTCTCTTGGAAGGAGCAACTTGCCTTTGAACCTGAAAGTGCTAAAGGTTTACACTTGCAGAAATTTGCAATCTTTGTTGTTGGATGAAGAAGAGAATGTCAACTCTAAGAATGCATGTGTTCTTCAGCAGTTGGATATTTACAGTTGCCGTTCTTTGAAGAGAATAAACAGAAGTGAGTTACCCTCCACGCTTAAAGAACTTGGAATAAATGGGTGTTCAAAGCTAGAGTCCATAGCACAACAACTTCAAGATAACTCCTCTCTCGAATCTATCAGTATATTCTGGTGTGATATGATCAAGGATTTACCTCAACGATTGAACAAGCTAAGGCACCTCCAATGCATATACATAGAGCATTGCTCGAATTTAGTTTCCTTTCCAGAGAGTGGTTTGCCCACCACAAGCCTCAAAGTGTTCCGCCTTGCAAATTGTGAACAACTCCAAGCTCTACCCCAGAATATGCACTGCCTCAACTCTCTTGAGGAATTAGAAATATCAGATTGTCCAAATGTTACATCTTTACCGGAACAAGGTATTCCTACCAATCTCAGGTCACTTAAAATTAGAGGACCAAATATCTGTAAGCCAATAATGGAGTGGGGATTGCATAGACTCACCTCTCTGAGATCTCTGTGGGTATCAAATGGATGTGCAGAGGCAGTGTCATTTCCACAAGACGAGATAGGAATGACACTGCCCTCCTCTCTCACCCGTCTCGAAGTTTGGAATTTCCCCAAGCTGGAAGTCTTATCCTCCAATGGCTTTCGTAACCTCACCTCTGTCGAGAGCTTGATCATCATAGATTGCCCAAACCTCAGGTTTCTTCCGGAAAAGAACATGCTTTCTTCGCTTTTGCGTCTATATATATCCTCTGGAGTGCTAGAAGAACGGTGTAAGGGGGATAATATATCCCACGTACCTTTCGTTAGCATTTCAAGTTAAAGGAGGTAAAAGCTGTGAGGCCCTAATGTTATGTTTATGCTTCACATGATTTTTTTTTGGTTAAAGTATAGAAATATTCCCTGACCATAGTATATTATTTTGTTGAATTCTCGACTGTTAAAAGTTATAAAATGGTCCTCCGACTATAGAATATTGCTTTGTTGAGTTCCTTGACAATTAAAAATTACAAAATGATCATTCAATTATCGATATGTTTCAAATCTTTTTCCGTTAAAAAATTGACGGCAGTCCTTGGTATCCCCTGCTTCTGCGTCTACTTCACCACAGAGATCTTCTCCATAGTTGAATATTATACACTCTAATCACTCTTTATTTGTTTCTTTTCCATTTGCCGATGATTATATATTATATACAGTCACATAATCTACCAAAATCAGTTCTCTTGGTTGTTTGTAGAGTGATTAAATGTGCAATCATTGTACTATATATAATAAATGATCTGAAGTTTCTGCAAAATCTCCCATTTTATTATCCAGGAGTGCGCCTGAAATCTCAAATGAATATGATTCCGGCCCTTTTTTTTGGTATTCAATCAATGTAAATGTTTGGATCTGTTGAGCAATGAGAGTATATTAGTGAAGCCTGATCTACATAATAAACAAGCCAACAGCAACCAGTCAACAAAAATGATGATCATGACAAGCCCTCACCCATGGATTTAAATTAAGGATGCGATTATGTTGCCCTCATCGTGATTATAAATATAACATAATACTATTATGATTACAGATATCACAATCGTACAATAATAATTTTGAATCCTATTTTCGTTATACAACTAGCATTATTCTAATAACATATCGTTATTTAAATTTCTACCCTTGCTCTAAACTTAGAATCTTAATTAGTTGAATCAAAACAACTAATTTATGATTAGTGATCTCGAGTCTGGTGTAGAGTATTGTATTCTCCGTTTTCAACCAACTGCTCAATAATCGGAACAACACATAGAGAAATCATTTATCTAACTATTCTGCTCCTTTTTCCTGGATAACCCAACTGTTGCCTCTCACTTTGATCAGCTTATAAAGGAAACAAAAAAAGATAAATATAAAACTTAAAGGAACCACCTACAAAAGATTAATATATCTGTGTAGTTTTCATATTTTACAAAAGTCTGTTAATTACAAAATGAGATAGACATAGACAACACTTTGAGAGATGGTAGAAAGAAAACTACCCAAAATTCACCTTATGACTAAAATGTTTAGTTGCAGTAACAATGGCAGCCTCAGGTCCACTTGGCTGTGCAGCTTTTGCTGAGGATAATTGGCAGGTTATTAAAGACAGTAGAAATCTTAAAAATGATCCACGCAAATGCTTCTCCTTGCCCTTGCTCATCTTGTTCTTCAATGTACAGAAGATTTAAGTGGTTGCCCTATGGTTTTTCAATTTCCATGCCGTATTCTGGGGATTCTTAAACCATATGGTTTCTTGGAGATGAAGCTAATTTCGTTGCTGCTTTCTCAGTGGTCAAAATGAACTTGCTAGGATTACTGTGTGCTTGACAACACGTGTTGAATATAAACACCATGCTTAGCTTCCAAGGTTGTTGAAAATTCAATATGAGAGCAACTTGATCATAAATTGATGTTTATTGGGATATATTATTCTATTAACAGTTGGTAAATCACGACTTAATCTACACCGGATTTTATTCTTTAATGTTTTATTCTATTAACAGTCGGTAAATCTGTGGAATTATGCATCACATTAGTGATGAATCATTAACGAATTAATCTACACCGGATTTTATCATAATCCACAGCTTTGTCCTTGTTTTTGAATAGGGGTGGAGGATTCAGAACTTTTTTATCAAAATTTGATTCGTCTCGATTTTATTTAAAAATATTGAGATTTTTTACTCAACTCGACTTTAAAAAATTTTACTTGACTTGACTCGACTAGTGATTTTATAAACTTGACTAGAAATTTTTTAAAATAAAATTTGAGTTATGAAATAAAAATTGAACAACTCAAAATTTTTACACAATGGATCCACCCAAAGTTCAACCACTTTACTGAAACCACTTGGGTTACAAGCAAGCGTTACCCCACCCAACAAGCAGATACTGCCTCAATCATCTATCTAAATGGCTTCTACTTAATATGAATCAGTGGTGTGGGATTGTTTATTTTGTTCGTTTTGTTCATACAAGTTCCATTGTTGCTGGCTTCAATCAGAGATGCACCTACATTAATGAACACTTCACTAACACCAAAGCTTATAAATCCTCATCTCGGCTTCCCTTTTTGCTTGCTCTTCTTTTCTTAACTTCTTTGGCTTCCAAAAAAAAATGGTTCTCTTGTTCCCATATGTAATGGGATAAGAGGGAGGTAAGATAGTAGGCTGTCCCAACACTAGGTTGAGAACAGCTTTCGTAGGAGACTTCCAAATTATGAAATGCCTTCCATGGGACTCGATCCCACGACCTCAAGTTAAAACCTTGTGCTCTACCAACTAACTGGATGGTTACTAAAATTTCACTTGAATCACAGTTTTTAAAGCTTAAAATTGCGATTCATGAATGCTTAAATAACTATGAATTTCTCACCGTCTCATCTCTTGACCAAAAATCAAATCAAATCTAATCCAAATTCAGCTTCACCTCCTCCAACTTATGCTCCCATGACTGAAATTTACATTGCATTCAAGTAAAAATTGTTTTTTATTTCCTTCCCGCATTTAAAAATTAATATAATAAAGTTTAAACCAAAGCAAGTCTTTTTTCTATATCAAATTTTGATTTTTTTCCCAAATATAAATGATATAATAATAAATTTAAATAAATAATATAGTAATGGAACATCTCCCTCATTCTTTTCTAAATCATGTTATACGTCATGCATGAAAATGCCTAGAACCAATCGGGAATGTCCCCAAATAGATCAACAAAAGAATAATGTTTTCCCATTAAGAACACTAGTCAAAATTGATTTCAGGCTTTACTTGCAGAAACGCATGATTGCCTTTCCCTGCAAAGCTTGAATCATACCATACATCACTATCTAAAAGAGATTAACATCTCATCCCACGGTTCGATTAGAGGTCCAAGTCGATGGAGTTGTTGCTTGCTTCGTCTTAAATCAGATTTCAACAAAAGTTGTCGCTTGCTCCAAATTAGCAGAAGAAACTATCTATATGTACATCGACACTGCAATGCTGGTGTTGCATTTCCAAAACTGAACAAAATATACAAGCTCCGTTGTCAATCCCCACCATCTTCTTCTTGATCCTCGAATACAGATTCTTCTTTGAGGGTTATATCTTCACCTCCGACTTCGTGACTTCCAGTATGCTGAAAGAACAATCTAGATGATACCGGATCATTTTCATCAATATCCTCTTCGTTGTCTTTTTCTTTAGAGCTTAAGTCCTTTTCACCGTCCATCCAAGCAGGGCAACGATGTACCACCCCAACAGCAGCATGAACTTCTGAGTGCGCTGAAGGAGTTGAAGCATTGGATGATGTTTCACTAGAGACAGGCCTCAAGCAAGAACATTCGGGGACTGGATGTGAAAGAAAAGATAAAGACTTTGACTTATTTGATGCTTCGATCAGTCCATCGATTAAAGAGCTCCTCAGATGCCTTCGTATCGATGTTAACCAGGAATGGTTTGCATGATATATGTGGCCACGGATTTCGTCCAAAAGCCTGACAACTTGTTTCCTGTGTTGGAAGAAGCATACAATCAGAACATGGTGAGAGATTGTAACCTTCCATGAATTATCTCAAGGACATAGATTGAAGTTTAAAAACAAATTTACTCCACCACTGTCATTAACTCGAAACTAAACCATCAATCTATAAAAATAATTGTATTCAAGCAAAAATGTCCAGTCAGAGAGATGTTTACCTGTTTGGCCTGTATGTTTTAGATGCAGCGGATTGATACAACCTGTGTCCCATAACCAGACTGGCAAAATTTGGATGTCCCTTGCCATCACGGTCGAATCCAGGAATGAAAACATCAGCTTCAACAGCAACCGTATAGTCTATGGCTTCCCATAGTAATTTATGAGCATTTGTCCTCAACTCTACAACTGTACTTTCAGGCTCATTGTCACTCTCAGCCACCCAACCCCACCACCCTTCGACATTATAAGTTTTGGGTCTGGCGGGAGGAGGTGGGAGAGGACGGGGATGAGGACCAGAGTTTTTCCATGCATCGAGCTTCATTTCAACCTGAGCAGGTGGAGCCCTTGGATAATTTTCATCAAGGTTAGCCTCACGACCATAAATTCTACTCAGCTCCCAACTTGTGCTGAGGGAAGTCCTATCAACAACGTTTTCGAACATTCCATGAAGCGGGATCAATGTCCTTTGGCCTCCAAAAACTTCTCCCCCAGACACATATATAATTGTATCCCATGAGTATCCATATGCCCGAAGAAGAATACCAACCTGCAGAAAGACAAGTAACTTCATTTCACGTCTCAAATTTTCTCAAATTGTTTCTCCTTATCCAATGGAATGACTACATTAATTAACCTTTTATGAGGCGTGGGCCAATTAGCACAGGCTATTTTAACCTAGTTCGAATGACATATCCACTTTGATATTCATATTGCATTAATGTAAGCTCTACCTAAATGAAATGCAAGAGGCAACAGCCCCATCTTTGGATGGTAAATTTACATATATGGTTTCAAAGAATAAGACAAGCATGTAACTGAAGCTTCATAAGCAAATGAAGTTCACCGATTGAAAATGACTACCTCTTCCGGCGTCAGTGGACATGAACCCTTGAGGCGTTGCTTAGCAGAATTTACAGAGAGCTGTCCCTTTATTATCCCACGTTTTCTCATCCAAGCTCTTCTGTGTTGAATAAGTTCAGCATGCACATCCTTGGGTAAGCTCCAAGAGAGAATAAATGCGTCAAATGATGGACAACATTTGAAACAAAAGATTCAGCGACTAAAAGCACCAACTGTGCCCTACCGAGTTTAAAGCAGGTACCTGGAAGAGTTCAGAACAACCATGATAAGCTAAAGAGTCTCTCGTCATCCCAGGATCAAAAACAATAAACGGCCTTCCAGGTGCCCTTAGCCTTAATTGAAAACAAAATATTAGTTGGAAAAATAAGGAAAGGAGATATACAATCACAGTCGGTTATTCACCTATGCAAGACATTAGTTGCCAGGTCTTGAACATCCTGTCGGAACTTCAGAGCATGAAAAGCAACCCTACATCTGAGACTTTGATACTCCTCAAGATGTGGAGGAAGAATTGACTGGATCGTATACAGAAAACATTAGCAACATTCACATTAGTCTTAACTAATCACAAGTTACCAGAAGCACAAAATATTAAGAGACCGTAGAAATGCAGAAACACAAAAGGGTGAATATTAACATGATCACCTAAAGAGCGGTATAACCAGCACACTTCAGGTTTCAGAAATCTGACATGAAAAGAAAGATATGCCATCCTTCACTAAATAAAAAAATCCAAGCATCCAACTTGGTACAAGTCATTTGGAATTGTTTAAGGCACCAGTAGAGAATTTTACCCAAGTCTTTTCAATAATTCAGGCATTCGAAAGAGAACTATGGTCTCGATATAGACTTAGTGCATGACATAAATGTAGGTCATGCATTGGTAAGAATGCAAGTACCCAAGTGTCAAACATGAGCTCCAAACCAAGCATATTAGAGAACCACCAAATGCTTAACAATATATTTAATCGAATTGAAACCAGCAAGATACTATTAACCTTTGTACAAGAATGCATGCCCTTAATCTATGTTTATGAATTTTAACTAAAGAATAAAATTGATACAAATTGAACTAGCATACATGCAAACTAAGAAACCCATACCCAATTTAGTGCAAAAAATAAAAATAAGCATCGTTGGAAATAGGGAATGTGCTCCTTAACTGCTATATATTGATATACAATTTCAGAAGGTGATATTCTAAGTAAAATGAAAAGGTTTAAAGTTCAAGTCGCAGGTCCACGTGAAAAAGGAAACTGCAATCACCTGCAAGCATCCACCATCGGAAACAACTAGTTCAACTACGGAATGCTTGATTAAAATAGGGAGCACATTATGCAAATAATAATACGGCGAAGCTGCATATGGCACTCTAAACACTGGAATCTCCTTATTTCTCCTTGCCGATTTAAGGCTTTTAGGAAGGGTTTTCACAATATTAACATCTTTTGCTAAAGCTGCCATGAACGCTTCCTCATTATATAGGTAGGCAAAACTCTTGAACTGTGAGCTGCGTAGAACATTTTACAAAAATAAGTTGATATAGGACAATTACTGATACCTTAAATGTTCATGATCTAACTCCGAATCAGAATGGAAAGATGTAATAACTATACAAAAGCTACCTGATTCCCTTCTTGCTTGTCGTTTGTTGAATCTCTGGAACAACTAAGGTAGCGTTAAGAAACCGAGAAACCGCAACCACATCACATATCTAAGGGATTACAAAAAAGTATTAGAATTCAATTACGTACATAGATAGTTTTATCTGTAAATAGGAATTTTCATTACAACACCCTTACCGAGCTCCTAATCTCATGGAAACCACCTTGTATTCTGACAAAAATGTATCCATTTGTCTGAGCACTAGGGCCTGTTAAAGGCATGTGTATAAATAAGCATTGTCATAAGCATATGTGGTTGATCATAAAAAGGAGTGCATATGCACATATAATTACAGGAACATGACGAAAAACAAACCAGAGGTAGGTTCTTACAAGTAAAACAATTTTAGTAGGAAAAAACAGTATGCTTTTAGAAAGGGAAATACAAAAAGCAATGCAAATTCAATAGATACAAAGACGTTATATAAATCAGAATCTATAGTTAGCAATTTGCATAGAGTATATACCAATAAATTGATCACATGACATCTACCTTAAGAAAAAGAAGTTAATAAAAAACAATAGACAGAACAATTGGTAAAGATACATAAAATAGAACATAAACCTTCAGACAGAACATTGAACATATATCACCCCCAACAAATCTTGTTTGCTACAGCACATCTATGATTATCAAAAGATGAACTTTAATAACTTATACATGACTTATAAACTATTTCAGAACGATCATCATACCCACAGATCCCATGACCACTTTTAAAATAACAAAATGTTCAAAACACATAACTCTATAGGTTACAAGTCAGGATAAGAATTAAAAGACAAGGGAAATTCTAGGTGCTATGATAGAGCCAGCCTTTCATGATTTACATTTTCATCTCTCCAAACATCCTAGCGGACTAATCACAAGCAATTGATGCTACTATAAGTCCTCCTACATCACTCAGTACTGTTAAAGAAAATTACAACTTTTATAATTAGAATAGTAAGAGAAGATGATTAGTAGTCACAGTAAATTTAATACGGAACAAAAGGGTTTCCGGATTTAAAATAACAAGTCCTAATTCCTACTCATTCAATTTTATATACTGAACTTTAACCTCTATTAGCTATAATTTTGGGATGGAAAACATGAAATTTCATGTTTTTTGAACCAAATAACTCAGGTTCTCATGAAACACATAACTGTGAAATATCAAAGGTGGAAATGATTAAATAACCTGCATAGTATCCTCTAGGATTTGCATGTGGGTGTAAAGATTCCAATTGCCCAACTGGTCCCCATAGTCTTCTATACAACGAGCTCTGCACCGAAAGATAGAAGAGGAAACCGAAAGAATCCATAAGTTAAACAAAATTAACAAACAGAACTGCCTCTAATATTACCAAAACAGTTCAAAATCAAATTAAAGCGGATCCAGAGTACAAATTTCACCTCCCCCTAATGAAAGAAAAATAACACTAATCTGGGGATTTTCATAAACCAAAATGGATCCAAACAAAACCAAATACACATGCCCAAGAACAGAAAAGGTAAATCAGAAGAAAAAAACCAAAAAAGTTTCAAAACTAGCAAACAAACAAAGAAATACCCAGGTTGAAAAACATGTCAACTCAAAAGAATCAGATTCAGAAACAAGAAAAAAAATGAGAACTTGAAAGTACATGAAGTTGCATATTACCGTTCTCGAGAGGTCCGAAGTATCAAAAATAGGTCTCCAAGAGAAGATTGTTATGGAAGACTGGTACTCGGAGAAGCCATCTTCAGTGAATCTGGCTAGCAAAAGTGAACAAAGAGTGAAAAAGCTGATAAACTAAACCAACCAAACCAATCCATTTCATCTTAGACTTGAAAATTGCTTTCCCATCTTTCATATTGCTCTAGAATGGAAGAAAGCTTGAAGAAGAGGAAACAGAATGGGAAGAGAAGAGAAGGGTCAGTGCGAAAAGTCAAGAGAGAGAGCTTGGTGATGATACGTGAAAACATGGTTTGAAGAGAGAAGAGGCCAGTGCAGTAGCATGGGTTGTTTTATTGGGTTTTAACTTGTAAGAGATCCGACATGCCATTACACGGAAAGACTCTGACATGAGAACTGTTCCACTCTTTCGTATGCGCGTGTGTTACAAACTTGATTAAATATTGTTGCAGTTAATTTATTTCTTTTAAAAATTCATTTCATAATTGCACTTAATTAGGTACGCCGTAACAGTAGCATTTGGATGCTTTATCGTTTCCCGTGAATAATGTGACGTGGTGTGGGTCTGAACTAAAGTCACGTGGTCATTGTGGATATCTTTTCAACATATGATTTTCTATATGTAATGTTTATAGTATTTACATTTTTTATTTATAAACTTTGAAGATGAGTGGAATTTTTCCATTTGATTAGGGTAGTGCAACTCTTTCTGATCGATTGTAGTGTTGGATCTATTTTGTTGTATTTGTTCTTTTAATGCAATAGAAAACGAACAACAAACAAAATTATGTTGAACAATTCAATTCTTTATCAAAGAGTGTGATGGAACTACAACCTTAATTTCGTGGAAACAATCTACAATGTGTGAAACAGTGGGGAGACAATCTCCATGTCCATACCTTACTCCAGCAAATTCCAAACATCCATGTTTTCAACTTCAACTACCATATCTTTCAAATTCAGACCTTCGAGGACTCTTAAAGTTTTGTGTCAAGAACAAATTTTCCTATAGCTTTTAACCCCCCTAACCCATATCCATCCATCACATATGAGCCATATATTAACCTGAAATCAGTTTCTTTACCCTATCAGTATTCAGTTTATACTACCCCAGAAACAGAGGTATTCATTGAATAGGGCAGTGACTACTCCTATGTCCACTGAATCAATATTCAGCTTATACCATCCCATCAGTATTTATCTATTGACTGTTCAATACAACTAAATGTTTTTTAAAGCGTTAGAATTTCATTTTAGGGTGACCAAAATAAAATAAATAAATTAGTGGGTCAAATGTATACTTCAATCGATTTGTTTTTTACAACAACTATAATAGGAATTAGACAATTTGGAAAAAGGGTGGGCAGAGTTGAATTATGAGAGTGGGGAAATGGATGGGGTTGGGGTGTCGTGTAAAAAGGGTTTATGAGCAGAGGAAAGAGACCGGTGACTGACAAGAATGGGTGCTGGAAACCATTGTACGAATTGTCATTTAAGTGCTCATTAAAGAATAATACTTTTTTACTGCACTTAAATTAAAACTTTACTCAATCAATCTCTGGTTTTAAAAGGAAATCCAAAGTTTGAGTTGGGAAAGAGTCGAGTATAGTAATAGTAGTAAAAATCATCTTTGTTTAACAACAATGAACATGGACAACTTCTTTTTCATCCGGTCAAAGTTGTGGTCCAATTCCAGCCTGGCCATTAACATAATAATTTCCAATATTTCTATTAAAAAATAAGATTAAGACCAAATTTAATTTGGATAAACTACATGAGATACCACTAAACTATGATCGAAAATCAATTTGACCACCAAACTTTCAATTGAATCAATCAGACAACCTAACTATTTAATTGATTCAATCAAACCACCGACCGTTAATTTTTAACAGAGGTGGCGATGTGCCCGTTAATAAATTTGGTATAATTATATATTTGGTCCTTAATATTTACATATTCGATCAATTTAGTCACTATTTTAATTCAATTAAATAAATTTAACTATCCAATTATAACGTGAAACGTGTCAATATATGATTGGAAGATTTTATTTATGAATTTTAAATTATTTCATTAAATATTTTTTATCCAATCTAATCACCACCAATTGAAATGAAAATAAATGGACAATCTTGTGCTCAAGGGAAATCAAACTAGGGTCTTGGGGGAATAGAACAACTAGCCACCCAAACTATTAGGCCAAAGGTCTTCAATGATGTAAAGTTACAACAATTTGTATTTGTCTTTTAAAAGTTTGTTAAGGATAAAAAATTAAACAAATTATTTTTAAATAATTATAAAAATTATTAAATTAATTAACGACTAATTATTTAAATTATTTGTAAACTATTTTAATTAAAAAATATTCAATTGTTATATAAATTAAAATATTTTGGTTAATTTAAAAATTAACCAAAATTTTTTCGGTTCGGTTAATAATTTTCAAATAAAATTCGGTTCAGTTAACGGTTAAAGGTTTGTTAATGATAAAAAAATAAACAAATTATTTTCCTTTTAAAGTTTACAACTAAGGGTGATCAAATGGTTAATTCGATCACCGACCAAACCGAATTAAACACAACCGAATTAATCGATTTTTTCTTTAACTGTTAACCGAACCAAAATTTATTGTGATAAATAATGACAACATAAAGAGTTTGGTGGCAAGATAATATATTCTTTAAAAGAAAAAAAATTAAAAGATAATAAATTTCAGTTCGGTTAACTGTTAAAGAAAAAACTTCGGTTATGGTTAATTCATTCGATCGGTGACCGAATTAACATTTGAACACCCTTAGTTGTAAACTTTAAAAGAAAATAATTTGTTTAATTTTTATCATTAACAAACCTTTAATCGTTAACCGAACCAAAATTTATTTGAAAATTATTAACTGAACCAAACAAATTTTGGTTAATTCGATTAATTTTCAAATTAACCAAATTTTTTTAATTTATATAACAATTGAATTTTTTTAATTCAAAAAAACAGTTTACAAATAATTTAAATAATAATTAGTCATGAATAATTTATTTAATTTTTTAATAATTTGTTTAATTTTTTATCCTTAACAAACCTTTAAAAGACAAATACAAATTGTTGTAACTTTAAACCATTCGAGACCTTTGGCCTAATAGTTTGGGCGCCTAGTTACTTTATTTCCCAAGACCCTAGTTTGATTCTCCTTGAGCACAAGATTGTCACTTTATTTTCATTTCAATTGGCGGTGACACATGTCACCACCTGATTGGATAAAAAATTATTTAATTAAATAATTTAAAATTCATAAATAAAATATTCCAATCATATATTGACACGTGTCACGTTCTAATTGGATAGTTAAATTTATTTAACTGAATTAAAATAGTGACTAAATTGATATAATATGTAAATATTAAAGACCAAATATATAATTATACCAATTTTATTAACGGATATGTCACCACCTCTATTAAAAATTAACGATCGGTGGTTTGATTGAACCAATTAAATAGTTGGATGGTCTAATTGATTTAATTGAAAGTTCGGTGGTCAAATTGATTTTTGACCATAGTTTAGTGGTCTTTCGTGTAGTTTACCCATTTAATTTTAAACGGGATATTTTTATTTAAATTTTTGGTTTAAACTTAATATTATTTGTTACATCCTCTCAAGTATTAGACAAAATCAACTTAAACAGTGAGCATATCCACCCTTTGCAAACCCAAGGCCATCTCCGGTCCTCATCTCTACTCTAGTATATTTCTATCTCTACTCTAGAGATGAAACATTAATTCATCTTCAGCGCTATCTCTATATTATACTAACTCTACTTTATTCATAATATTTAACTATTATAAATATTAATTTTACAAATATAAAAAAATCTAAAAAATATAAAAAAAATCCAAAATAAATCCAAAATAAAATTAATATGATTATTTATCTAATTTTAATATATTTTTATCTATTTTATAATTTAATTAAAAAAAACTAAATCTAACACGAGTACTGCATTAATTGTAGCACGGTACTATAACAATACTCTACACTAGAGATAGAAGTGACGCAGGGTTAGAGCGCGCTACCGTGGAGAGATGCCCTTTTAATAAGAATAAATAAAGTGTAACTTTTAGCTTTGGAGAAGTTTGTGCAAGACCATGAAGATTATGAAAAAGAAAGATATTAAAAAGTGAGGTTGCAAATTTTATAATAATTGAAAAGGCCTGGCGGCTGCCACATGCATGTGAGCCCCTCTGATCTCTATCTCCGACGGTAACTCCAACGTTTCTTTTAGAAAAGTAAAATGCACACTCACCATCTATGGCAATTACATCATAATTTGTGAAGTCATACTTGTATGGGAAAACAAACATACACACAATTTGGGAAGTCATACTTGTATGCAAATTTCTTTGTTTTTTCTTTCTTCTTTTAATATATTAAACTGATTTTTTTTCATAATAATAGTATATTCGTAATTTTCTATGGGATTTAGTGTATCCATCCCTGCAAACAGTATAATAATTAAAAAAAATACATTAAACAAAGAATCATAATGCTTGAAATATTATGTAGGATAAAAAATGTTATACGTTCGAAGTTCATCTTCGAAAATTTCTAACTCTTCATCGGTCAAGATTTTTTTAATAGATCCTTTTCTTATTGTAACCTTTAAGGAGTTCATATCCTCCAAGCACACGAGTATTGTAGTCTCTAAATAAGCTATAATGCGTAGATAATATATCTGACGGGCTCATATAGCCTACTAGGATAAAATCCAAAATTCGAACTAAATCTATTTAGTCTCATAACCTACGAGTAGTTATAATGACCCTATGTCTGGCATTATCAACTATAATATTATAAATCCCTCGTCACAACTGGAAGGGGATTCTCTCAACTTTTTTCTCATCCTTCACTCCCATCTTCTCTCTTTATGCTTTCATTTTTCTTACTGAAAAATATCGTTGATCGTTCTCACCGGTTATAATTTTTTGTCAAAATCTAAAGAGAGAAATTACCAACAATTAATAAAACAAAGTTATTTCTATCAACCAAATGTAGTTTTGCGAATGACTCCTCTTATGGTAGGATATTTCATAAATCAAGAAATACTTTACAATTTATGATATTAATCGGATAAAAAAATTATTTATGCTAAAATAAAAAAATATTCAAAAAATATTATAAAAGTGCTAGAATAACATCCC